AATGTTACATTGTTAGAAAGTAGGCAGATTTCCATTTAGAAAAAGTATGCTATCTTGACTTCTTCCTTTCAGAATCAAAGTCATTTCTTGCTGATGCTTAAATTGTATATGACAACCAAGAAGGTTGATTTACTTCCTTTTTTCCTGAGCATCTGGAATTATTAGAGCCCACCAAAAATGACTTGAGGGTAGTGTTGGGTCTTTACATCCCAGATGCTATCTTTCAGAATTCTTTATACATAATAAATAGGTAAATATTTGTAAATTTAAATGAAACTGATATGGCATCTAAATGCACAAATTGAGAGGCTTTTTAAACACAAATTGAGGGATTTTTAATAAATATATCAATACTAAATGAATTATTTGCTTCCTATTTTATTTTGGCATAAACAGATCAGTAAAAACCAGCTAAGATTGAAATCTAGTACCTATTATTTGAGGAAGGACAAAAACAACATAAAGTTCTGCTGCTTGTGAACATAAAAGAAAATTGCTTATGTGAGCTAGGAAGGAGTTGGACTAACTCCGAAAACATCCTTTTTTATATACTTATCTTTTTTTTTTTCGCCCAGTTCTGCTTTCTTTTTTCTTTTTCTGATTTTTAAGCACATCATCTATGTGCAGGCATGGCAATATGGTTAAGTAGGGGCTAAGCTAAATAAAACATAATTTTTACTTACAATTCCAGTGTCAACAATACATAATTTTTAGACACAAAGATTCCATATAAGTCTACTTCCCAACTTTTTTATCTGAAGTGATACCACAGCAAAACCATGATTATACAAAAATGACACATTTCCCATATTATGTGTTATAAACACATTTGAAAGCAATTATATGAAGGTTAAAAAAGACAAAAGATTGTTATCTAATCTTTCAAGTAAAGTTATGTACTATCAAACTTCCATTTAAAAAAATTTAAATATATGCTCATGGGGTTATTTTTTCCATGGTTTCGGTTTGTTTACATTCCCAAATTGCCCCCAGCTTACATCTACAAGATAGAAAGCATTCAGCTAAATATGACAGCAGGATTTAAATATGGACTTTGACAAGAGAATAAGAAAGTCCAGACAGAGGCATATAATATAATAAACTAAGAACAATACAGAATTGATTAAAATATGTTGGTAAATTTAAATAACAATTATACTTAATAACTAATTTTACATATGAAAAATGAAAATTTATGGCACACAGCTAATGCAGGGCTGAGAAAGAATTAAACAGCACTAAATGCATACATTGGAAAAAACAGGAAAGTTTCAAATCAGTAATCTATACTCCCACTTGACCTTTTATGAAGTTTAGAGTATCCAAACCCAAAGACAATATAAAAGAAAGGTTACAGCCAATTATCACTCATAAATACAGATTTAAAAATCTTTTTAAAAATGTTAGAATTCAGTAATATAGGGGAAAAAAGTGTGTGCCGGCATCAAATGGGGTCAATTCAAAAGGATGTAAAAAGGCCTCAACATTTGAATATCAAATAATTTAAGTCACCATATGAGCAAGCTAGAGAAGTAAACCACATCACATTTTCCAATGGATGCAGAAAATTCACTTGACGAATTAAATACCTCTATGATTAAAAAAAAAAACAAAAAAAAAACCAGAAAGCTTGAACTAGAAGGGAGCTTCAACTTGATATAGAATATCTACAAAAAGGGCCTCCCTGGTGGCCCAGCGGTTGAGCGCTGGGTTGCGAAGCTGCCCGCGGCCTCTGCGGCGCTGGTTCCATCTCCGGCTGCTCCCCGGCCACCAGAGGAGGGTCCCACATGGCGCGCAGACCTCTCCTGCCGCCCGCTGCTCCCCTCAGCAGTGTACTTCGGTCCTTCTGCCTGCTCTGCTCCATGCTCTGGCTCTGGTGAATTCTCTCACCCTCCTAAGCTTCTGACTGTACCCAGTGCATGTATAAACAAAAACAAACAAATAAATAAATAAAACATGCCTCTATTAAAAAAAAAAGAATATCTACAAAAAGCCTGTAGCTAAAAATATACATATATACATATCCTTAAAATCAGAAAAAGGCATAATGCACACTCTTTCCACTGCTATTAAGTCAATGCCATAAAGCAAGAAAAGCATGCAAGATATACAGATGGAAAAGGAATAAAATTGCCCCTATTTGAAGATGGCATGACGGTCTATAGAAAAATGTGCTGAGTGACAAAAGTCAAGTTCAATAGGCCACATACTGTGTGATCCTATTTATAGAACTTTCTCAAAATAATGATTTTATAGGGATGGATAATAGATATGTGGTTTCCAGTGAGTAGAAATGATGGAGAAAGAAGGAGGTGTATATGACTGATGAAGATGCTTGTGTTTATGTAAGATTGTGGCACAAATGTACACATTTGATAAATGACATAAAACCATGCACAGTGTACCAATGTCATAGTGACATAAAACCATACACAAAGTGTACAAATGTCAGTTTCCAGAGTTTCATATTACACTACAGTTGTATTCTGGGAAAACTATGGGAAGGGTACATGAGTGCTCTATATTGTTTTTGCAACTTTCTGTGAAATTACAATTATTTCAAACTAGCCACATGCTAGGAGAATATATTTATATTAATGAGTCATAAAGAATAGTTATATGAAATTTATAAAGAATCTTAAAATCAATTAAAAAATGTACAAAGGATAAAAGGAATTTCCTAGAGAAAGAAAAAAATGCTAGTAGACATCATTAATCCATCACTATTCATTATGCTATACTCGCTAGGTCCTGTGTATATATAATATTCTATTGATGAAAATATTAAATCCCCCCAACTTATAAATGGCAAGATGAACACATAGATTTGTCCACATAGTTACAAAATGTTGAACTCAATGTTTCATGTAATTTTATAAAATATTAATACTTAAGAATTAAAACTACTTCAATTGGAAATTATTTGAAATACTAATGAAAACACAACATTATTTCTTAGCTGCCTGTATAGAAGTCAGCATTGCCAATATGGTAATAATGTTTAAAGGGGGGATCCTATACTCCCCAAAATACAAGCAAGAATGTAAAACAACATTACTTTGATAAAAATACCATGCAATGAAATAAAACTTCCTAATTTAACTTAACATAGATTGTGTGTATAGACAGGAGGCAGATGTTACAAGGAAATGGGGGAAAGAATACATGGGAGGGTGGAAAAAAGTACATTTTATAGAACTAAACAAAACTGCAGACTAGTCAGGACATACAGGCTTCAGTAACAGGCTGACAAGACTTTTTAAAAATTGATTTCGGTGGGCCTCCCCGGTGGCGCAGCGGTTGAGCGCTGGGTTGCGAAGCTGCCGGCGACCTCTGCAGCGCAGCGGTTCGATCCCCAGCTGCTCCCCGGCCACCGGAGGAGGGTCCCACATGGCGCGCAGACCTCTCCTGCCGCCCGCTGCTCCCCTCAGCAGTGTACTTCGGTCCTTCTGCCTGCTCTGCTCCCCGCTCTGGCTCTGGTGAATTCTCTCGCCCTCCCACGCTTCTGACTGTACCCAGTGCACGCATAAACAAAACAAACAAACAAACAAATAAATAAATAAAAACATGCCTCTATAAATAAAAAAAAAAATGTGTTTTAAAAAAAATTGATTTCGGGTAGACATTTTGACCAACAATACCATAATTTCTCCCTCATTTCAACTGAATTACCATGTGTGTCTAGTTCTGAACCAAAGAAAAGTAAACCCACTGAAGTATCAAAGTTACTTTCTACTATAAGCGGATATCTCTCAGAACTCAAGATTAATGAGGAAAAAATCTGAGAAACCAAAGGAAGGAAATATCCCATGCAACAAATTAATGAATTTGATTTCTAGTCTAGTCTAGCTTCATAACACTTGAGATGACTATACGTTTTCTGTAGCAGTATCCAATTCCAGAAAGAGAGTGTGCCCAGAAAGTAGATTTGAGATATTCAATAAGATTTTCTTCAGATACTTAAGACAGAGAGATCATGCCTGAACTGTCCAGGCTTTAAGCAACTTCCAGGGCTTGGGGGTAGGTTTCCATTCAGGATGTTACTAAGTTCACAAAGTTAACATCTCTTTGCTTATAGCAACAAATTTTTTAGGGTGGTAATTTAAATTTGAGTATTACACATTAAACAAATAATCATAGATAATTAAGCTATTAGATGAAGAAAGTGTAAGAAAGAAGTAGTATCATTTGGAAAAAAGAATAGTATCTGTTCTTATGTTTTCATAAAATTTAAAGTTGTTTTATATGATTATTTCATTAATAATAGGAAATCTGAGATGTTTTGAAATGTACACATGGTGAATACACTGATTTTAACTTAATATAGATTTATTTATATTGTGCAATTTAATAAATCTTTGGCAACATTCTGGAAAAATTTCCTGATATATTTTTAGATACCTATGTAAATTCTTCACCTCAGGCAATATCTACCATAAATGAAATGTATATATAATATAGCATTTTGAAATTAACTGTAGAAAATTCTGAAGTAGGGTCTTCATCATCAATACTTTGTAATAACTTTATTATTTTCTCAAAAAGTTAAGCTTTATTATTTTCTCAAATTTGGTAAATCTGATTACCAAATATACTTTGAAAATATAAATTATGGCCTCCCTGGTGGCACAAGGGTTAAGACACAACCTGTGACACAATCTGCAGCCACTGCAGCACAAGTTCGATTCCCAGCCAGCCAGGGAGCAACCCACATGGTGCAGCAGACCTCTCCTGACTCACCTGCTGCTCCCCTCAGCAGTGTACTTCGGTCAATCTGATTGTTCTGTTTCCCACTCTGTCTCTGGCGAATTCTCTCACCACCCCCCCACCGCCACACACACACCTTTGGCCTGTACCCCAGCTCTTGTATGCATAAATAAATAAATCTTTTTTTTAAAAAAAGAAAATATAAATTAACTCAAATGACCAAGGCAACCTTTTTCTTTTTCCTACTCAAATATCAAACATCTGAATAAATTCAATCATTTTATTTCCTTTCTGCTCACAAAAGCAATTAATGTACATTAAAGATTGATGTTAAGGTAATTAAGTGGTTTTCTATACTTAAGAAGAATTTTCTTGTTAATTTGTTTCTTTGGATTCCTCTTTTCCTCACCTAGAAAAAGAATATTCCAAAGCAAGTTATATATCTTAATAATCCACATGAATTATTAAATTATTAAGAAGATACTAATAAATACAATTTTGATGATTAAATATTTTTCATTTTCTCATTCTCTTATAAGTATTAAAGCTATCACATTTTCTATATGCATATGTTCCTGTTTTTCAAAACATATGGTATACACTTTGTTTTTTAAAAAAAAATATTTTGTTTTTTACCTTGAATTGTCTGTTTACTCACATAGTTCCTAAAATCATTTGTTTTGGGTATAAAGAAATGCTATTATTAACTACAGTGACAACCACTGAAACTAAGGCATTTCAAAAGCAACTAAAAGGGAAAAAAATAGATGTGATATTCCCAGAAACAACAGCAAATCACTCAAAAAATTTCATAGCTGGAGCAAGCTTTTATTTCAAAGGAGAAGGAAGATATTTATATCAAACTTAATTGTCATAATCAAATATAACATTATTATGCTGTATATTGACTTTATATATCATACAATACTGTTATCTAGGAAATGTATTATTAAAAATAGAGTGACAGGTATGACAAAATCTACTGTTTCTGTGTCTTCACTACATTACATCTCACCAGAAACTGAAAGAAAAATGTATCACATGGGATAAAAAATAAAAGGAAGAATTCAAGAGTTATTATCTTGTCATTTCCTATATATCCAGACTTATTCTAGAGTCATTCTTTTAAGTGAATGGAGAACTAGAATACACTTCAAGCTGTGGAAGTTATTTTTCTAAGATCTCTCTTTTAATTTATCCTTCTTTTCTTAAATGACCACATCCAAGCCAACACCTCAAATCAATTCTAAATTGATGGTTTAAATTATTTCTACCTCAAAAGTCTTCTCTGATGTCCACATCTTCTATGAGCACTGTCATTCAATATCTCTATTTAGATACCTGCATTTCAAATATTCAAAATTAAAGCAAAGTTTCAGCCCCCAAGAACTTATAACTTTACTTACTGTGTATCATTTTCTTATCCATTTATCTTTATCTCCCTTGTGAAGATTCCAGTCCAATCTACTATTATCTGTAATCAAACTCTGCTATCAACAAAAACCTTTTCACTGGTCTCTTCTGAGAGACCATTCTCATCCCTATCCTAGCCATTATTCATTTAACAATCAAAATGCTATTTATTTTTTTAAAGATGTATTTATTTATACAAGAACTGGGGTACAGGCCAGATGCGTGAAAGGGTGAGAGGATTCACTAGAAACAGAGCAGGGAACAGAACAGATAGACTGATGAAATACACTATTGAAGGGAGCATCAGGCGAGAGAGGAGAGGTCTGCTGCACCATGTGGGTATCTCGCTGGCTGGCTGGGATCAAACCCACACTGCAGAGGCTGCAGACAGCTTCACAGTACTGCGCTCAATCGATTGCCTGCTCCACCGGGGAGGCCCAAAATGTTATTTTTAAAACCAGAAAGCTACCTTGGGGAAAAAAAGAATGCTCAAATATATCTTTTATTACTTTCAAATAAAATGACAAATGGTCATAGAAAAATAACAAATGGCCAAAAAAAAAGTAGTTGACAAATCATAGAGCACTGGAGATGCTAATAAGACCATAGTCAACAGAGTAGTAGAGCTGGTAGCAGATGGGAATGAGATGAGGAAATGGAGAGGAAGACATGCAAATATATGAAGACAATGATTTTAATGCATTTATAAACTGAAGCAGAGAAACAGGGCAGTAGTAACTGAAATATTAAATCAATCAAGTATTAAATCAAGAGCATGATTTAGGTTGGAAGGCAATAAAACGTATTTATATGCTGATGGACATCCGTAATACCCCAAGAGAACAAAACCAGGAAAGATTTTGCTAAGGCAATTTTCTGCTTTTTGAATAGAAAAATGTTAGATTAAATCTGTGGTGCAGAGATGACTTCAACCAAAGCATTGACCCTGTAGAAAAGATTGTGATTTTTAAAAAAGGGACAATTCAATAACTGGAATAATAAATTATTGTCCCCTTCATAATTCCTTATTTCCCTTATTTCAAGCTCACGAATGTAAGGTGTTCAGCTGATTGAGACAGAACTTCAATAAGAACTCTAAATGAAAGGCATTAGAACTCACTGTAGAACTCTGTCTGATTACGGTCTACTGCCACTTGTCTTCTTCTCTACCATCTGACACCAAATATAACCAATATTATTTATCCTTACTAACTATATAAGTAACAAATTAAAGTCAGACATGATTAATGTGAGTCCAGCAGAATGTCAAGTGATCAAATTTTCTCAGATTTCTGGGTTGAAGAAGCCATATGCCTAATACCCAAAATATTCTGTCATCAAATTACATCAGAATAAGCATTTGACAAGAAACAACATCCATTTATGATTAAAAAAAAACTTACCAAATAGATATTAAAGACCAACATATTAAAGGCCATATACTACAAACAAACAACCACATCATATTCAAATGTGAAAAACGGAGTTATTTCTTTAAGCTCAGGAACATGTCAAAGATAACACTTTCACCATTTCTATCATGTTTTTAGTACTTTAGTATTAGTAATTTAATATTAGAAGTCTTAGCAAGAGCAATAGACAATAAAAGAAATGAAAGAATTCCATACTGGAAAATAGGAAGTGAAATTATCACTATTTGCAAGCTGTATAATATAGGTATATAAAATCTGAAAGGCTCCACCAAAAATTATTGGAAGCAATGTATGAGTACAGTAAAAATGTCAGGTTATGAAATTAATACACAAAGATTGATTGCATTCCTATATGTAAACAACAAAAAAAGAAGAAAAAGAAATAACAATTATATCTTTGGGGACTTGACCCCAATGGCAAGGAAAATGAAAGCAAAGATAAACAATTGGGACTACACCAAGTTAAAAACTTTTGCAGAGCAAAAGAATATATCAGCAGATTAAACAGCATACTGGATGGGCAATAATGTTTGCACACCACACATCCAAAAAAGGGGTTAATATCAAGACATACAAATAATTCATTCAATTAAAAAACAATTAAAAAACAAGAAAAAAATCTGAACACACACTTTTTCAAAGAGGATAAACAGATGGCAAACAGACACATGAAAAATGTTCTCCATTACTTCTCACTAGGGAAATGTAAATCAAATCCATGAAAAGATCTCATCTCATACTTTGAGAATGGCTTACATGAACAAAACCACTAAGTGTCCATGAAGATGTTGAGAAGAGGAACCCTAATGCATCGTCAGTGGGAATGTAAACTGGTATAACCATTTTGGAAAACAGTATGAACCTTCCTCAAAAAACTGAGAGTAGAACTACCATATGATCTACCAATCCCATTTTTGAGTACCATATCTGAAGAATATGAAATCAACTCATAGAATTATATGCACCACAATGTTTATTGCAGAAATATTTATTGATATGATAGTCATAATATGGAAGCAAACAAAATACCTATAAGTAAGTGACTGGCTAAAGAAGATATGGCATAAATAATGAAATACTATACAGCTATAAGAAAAGATAAAATTGTGCCATTTGCAGCAAATGGAAGGAAATTTGGGGGATTATGCAAAAGTAATTAGTCATAAAGATAATGATAAATATTGGCTAATTTCAACCAAATGTGCAATATAAGGAACAGACAAAAAAATACTTTAGTAGACATTGATAACTGAATTGAAGTAACCAGGGGTCAAGAGAGTAAGAAATGAGAATAAGGGTAGTGGGGATATAATGGATAGTGGTGGGTGTTTTGTTTTGTTGGGCCCAGTGGAGCATTATGGGTGCTTTGATGGTGGGTGTGGTGTGGTAACATACATCTAAACAGGTATGAGCTTATACCACTAAATCATACACAGTGTTAGAAACCAATATTACCTTCATAGACGAATAACATAATTTTAAAAATAAAAATAAAACTAGCTTTGCAGATGATAAAAAAAACCTTAAAATAAGAAATGGGGTGAACTGATGAAATACTATGATTTTATTAATATTGATAGAATATAAACCTTTGAAAAACCTTCGATAATTGTAAATGTAAAACACATGTCCCCCTACCCAAGTTGTGACTGTTAAGTGTAATGATATTGAAACTAATCTATCAAACAGCAGTGTGGATTTTATGATCTCATTCTTTTAATGTTGGCATCTTTTCTCACACTTTACTGCACTGTCAGTAAGCATTTTATCAGTTTCTGGAAAAAAGGCAACATTCTAAGCAGGAATAATGAGTGACACTTTAAAAAAAAGTAATGAGCAGCTTATTGCCATTAAGACAAGAAAATTACTATTGCAGACAATCATCACCTTAAGTCTAATTGCAGGCATTCTAAAGCATCTGTTTAGGAAAATTACCTTTAGGATATTTAAGGACTGCTTTGAGATATACAGATTACAGATTCACAAAATTTTTTCTAGGAAACTAATCAATTATAGATGAATACAGCTTGATCAACAGTTCCAAATAAGACATTGCTACATTAACTTTAAAGACAGTGAGTATATTTTATTCCATTACTTATACTTAATGTTTAAAAACAGCTCAATATGTGTCTGACAGAATTAAACTCATGCCTAATTTGAGAAATACATGTTGAATTTGATGAATGAATGATTCAATGAGTGAATTTACAAAACAAGTAACTGGTAGAGAACATTTGGAGAGTCAAGCAATAGATGCTTTATTAAGACTGATTTATCTTTTATTTTTTGAAAGGACCATTGTGCTATAATATTACATACATATTTCAGTTGTTCTTCATTGAAACTCAACATTAACATCACTTACCACTTAAAGGAGTGATGCAGAATCATTTAAAATTTATAATTAAAAAAAATTTATCATATCAAAATCTTCCTGACTGGTGACCTTATACCTCTGCCATTGTTCAACCTGCTTGTTCTTCCTCTCAGTGACCATAGTTTACTGTGGCTACTTTATCATTCAGTGAAATTTATTATAATGCTGATGTTCAATTTTTTGTTAGACTTTGAGTTAGAGAGAAGGAATGATTTTAGAAAGAGGGAGGAAATAATTTTGATCAGGAGTTAGAAATCCCTGTGGGGCAACCAGATTACAAATGCCAGTTAGCTTTAGTGACAGACAGGTCTTAGAAGAAAATATACCTTTATGAGTCATTAGTTTATAAACAGAATTATGTGGAACAATTTAAGGAGAAAGAGGCTAGCATAAATATACTATCATTTTATAGAAAAACTGAAGAAACCTCAAAGAAGCTAAAATTTAAATGGTGATAATATTTTCTAATGGATATATATTTTTGCATTATGATATGTATTTATCTATTGATATGTAACAAATCACCCCAAATTTAGTGACTGCCACATGAAAAATACACTCATTTTCCTAACTTTCTTCCATAATCTTAATAAATCAATATTATAGCATCAGCCTCAGACTTGAGGTTAAGTATCTTATTTACTTTCTTTTTTCTTTTAAAGATTTATTTTTATTTATTTATACACACAAGAACTGGGGTGTAGGCCAGAGGTGCAGGGGGTGAGAGGACTCACCAGAGACAGAGTGGAGAGCAGAACAGGTGAAACTATTGAAATACACTGTTGAGGGAAGCAGCCGGAGAGACAGGAGAGGTCTGCTGCACCATCTGGGTCAGCTCTCAGGCTGGGGATCAAACTCATGTCGCACTGGCTGGTGATAGCTTGATTGTACTGAGACTTAATCCCTGAGCCACCAGAGAGGCCCAAGAATCTTGTTTTCTAAATCAAGTCCAGATGTGGAAAAGTTTCCATGCAATCAGTTTCTCTTGAATTGAAAACCCGTTAACCAAAGAGACAAGTTAATTTCTGACTATATATTCAACATTCGATAATGAAATAGCTATTCCCACTCAAAAAAGGAACAGAATTGCCTGACCCTGAGATTCAGTCACACAC